CTGTCACCCCCCACACTGCACTGGGTGCCCAATGTGTGGTTACATGTGCTGTAGACACTGTATTGATTGATCTGTGACTGTGCTGTGACCAGCTCCGGAGAGGGATCTAATGACACTCTACTCTCGTCTCTGCTCCAAATGGCTTTTGTTAGCTCACAAAAAGAATCATGTGCTGGCGTCTGCCAGCCATGAAATGGGAAATGCTGAGGATTTGTTTATACAGAGGCAGAATTTTTTTTTTTTTTTTTACCAGACTCAATATCACAATATTATGATCTATGGCTCATGATTGCCACTGCTGGTACATGCAATCAAGAGTGGAATTCTCATGTTTGGGCCTTTGCAAAATGGTCCTTTGGTGGCTGTAGAGGAAAATGTGACACATGTAAAGCACCATGCGAAGAGCCAGAATTACAAAGCACTACTACTGCTACAGTATGAGTTTAAAGGGCAGCAAATCCCCAACCTGTACTTACAGGCTTTGCAGCAATCTAAAAGTGCAGGGGTAGGTAAACAGTGTTTCTCCCCCTATAGCTTTATTGAGATCCAGTGTCCGTTTGTACACATGAATTAGCAAGAGCAGCAGCTAATGCATGGAGTCAGATTACAACCTCAGAGTAGAGCCGCCTTTATCCCCATATATAGAGCTTAATCTGTCCAAATCCACCGCTTTGCTGTGCCCTAAATCCACAACAGAGCCTAATTCCTCTCTAATCTAATGAGCGGTAAAGGTGCACACACTAAGGTTCAGGATGTCACAGACAGTACATCTGATCAGAGCAGAGATAGCTTGGGTCTTCCCCCGCTGTGCTATTATGAAATACATTGTTACCAACAACAACGGCCAAAAAGTCATGGCAGAGCAAGCAGCAGCAGCATGGCAGGCTTTGACCGCGTGTCTGGTTATCTGCTTGTCACTCATAGTTTGTGCTGTAGGCAACACTTCCAGGTGAGTGGACGACTGTCAAGAGATGATGAGGAAGAGGAGGAGGTGGCTGCAATCTCCGGCCCACCAGCACCCAGGCTTCTCCACATCACTGCAGACCTATGAAACTAACTTAATCCCTCCAACACTTTTCTTAACACACTAAACAGTGAGCTAGTAGTTAACATTTACTGTAGCTGCAATCTGTGGTGGAATATAACCAGGATTTACATTTATTGCCAATCAACCTGCAGATTATTTTCAACAATAGTTAAATAGTTTGTTTTAATAAGATGTCGAATAATAATTTTAAAAATCAGTATTAATTTAAGCTCAATCTTCAAATTGCTTGGTTTGTCAAACCAACAGTCAAAGGGGAAAATAATTCAGTTTAGTTTTTCAGTCTCTTATAATCTAAAAAACTGAAATGAAGGAACTGAAAAATAAAAACTAACTAATTGGCTGTACCCACTTTTCTTTTCACTCTGTGAAAGGTAAGTCTGGAAAGGCTGAGCATGAATTGATTAAATTCTCAGGCAGAGATCACGTCTATCCATTAGGGGAAAATCACTCTCACAGACTGAATAAATAGCATCGTTGAGTCTTTTCACCAAAAACATTAACAGTTATGGGCAGCCCACCAAAATAAATCACAGCCACCCAAGAATACTGAAACCCCAAATGCAAAAAGACAGTTTGACGTCATCTAGTTTGCGTCATCGCCATTCCACAGAGCAGCAAACGTACATCATCATTCCCTCTTGGCTGTCAAGCCCGAAGGAGAATTACAGTATTTGCATAAAACAAATTCGGGATGAAGTTACTGACAATTTGATTTGCATGGTTTGACGAACACCAAGGGAACTCTGACTGCACAAAAACTATTTCTACTGAAATTTTAGGTTCACGAACAGACACAGAAGACTGTCACAGAAAAACAATCACAAACAGCCTCAGCAGTTATTATAAATCACTTAACTCTCCGATTGCAATCTTAGTCCCATGTAAAGACAGCTAATGAAAAAGGTTCATGCATGCTAATGAGCAAATATTATTCGGAATTATAACAGCTTGAGGAAAATTCCTGACAAATGGTAATTTTACATCCCTGCATGACACGATGTCTCCACCTGATATGAAGGAAAAACGGCTCATGAACATCAAGCAGAAGCATGTGCAGGTGATCACACATAAGGCGAAGATCAAGTATGTGGCATTACTTAATGTCCCGTTCTATAAATGACTCAGCTATCCAACTGGGATCAGTGGCTGGCATTGCGCTGCTGTCACCACAGCCATCGCTCCAGCCCATGCATGTCTGAGCATTGGGGCCTCTCCTCAAAAGTCAAATGTCAGATGTTATCCATCCCCTCTCATAGAGAAGGACCTGGAACACCATCAGGGGCTCGGAGGCCCTGCTTCTCAGCTGGTAACGGAAAAACACCATTACTGAGCTTGTTTTGCTTCGGAGAGCAGTGTTGCACAATGATGGCCATATTACTAACAGTTTATTTATTTCATATTGAACTGAGGGCAGCATAGAGGAATAGTATATACCAGTGGTGACAGATATTGTTAAGTCATTCATTCTAACAGTTAGCTTGGTGGCAATAAATATAAATTCAAAAGCCTGTAGTGACTGCAAACATCACATATGTTGATTTAAGATACAAGTGCCATATATATGGCTCATTGTTCAATGTGAGCCACACATTTATTAGCCCGTGAATCTAACAAGTACTTACATTATTGATGGACAGTTAAACAGCAAATACACGCTTCATTTACTGGTTGTTGATTCTTTAGTGCATTAATTACTGTTTTCCTTGATGGGATGAGGTTATTGGCTGTTTTCTGACATTTTACAAACTGAAAGATTAATCAACAGGTTAATCAAAATAATGCTGCAGCCATTATTAATGGCCACATTATTGTTGCATGCAAACATAACCACAAACAAAATCATTATCAACCGAGTCAACCTTATTTAACTGCTACTGAAACTGGAAAGAGTTTAAAGACTCAATGTAAAATGTCTGTAATGGTCAACTAGCAGGATTTCTATATGAAAACAGCAAAATCAATGTGTAGTAGGTAACAGGTGCACAGGTTATGGACTGAAAATTGCTCATATATTTCAGGGATAAAAACATGATGGAAATGATGCAACTTCTCCTGCCGCAGCTGTTAAAATTACTGTGAGTAATTACTTTGGGGCAGTGGCTCGCAGCAGCATTATGATAATTCTTTTTTGAAAATGGAGGGGAAGCAATGCACTTATGATAAGTTGGCCTGACACCGTGACACCTTGCCTCGCAAACTAGGCAGCTGAAAACAAATGATTTCACACATTCGGCCTGCAGTTATTTTGGCGAGGTGCTTTGTACACAGCCAGTGTCTGTGTTGTCATAATAGTGATGCATTACCAAAACACTGACTCCTCAAAACTTGATGAATGAATAATGAGCTAAATTACTTTGTTGATCTCCGCATCAGGTTTATGAGTGAGCCCCCAGAACAGAGAGTGGCCTCTCAGATTCCCTGGCAGCCTGTCTAATGACTAATCAATACATTTTAATCTGATTGAGATCATAGCAGACCTTCACTGAGCGGATCGGGGGAGGCAACTGCAAACACAGCTTCGAGACGCGCAGTGCGAAGGCATCTCCTCATGTGACCAACACAAAAAGTCCCCCCAGATCCATATAACATGACAGGCCAAGTCTCCTGGTGATATTGTTAAATCTATTCAAAACCCATACTTGTCATATCTATTTTTCATTAGCCTTGGAGTTGGTGGAGGCTGTAGGGGGATGATCTCTTGAAATATTAATTACAAAAGCACCAAAGACATGCTGCGACTGTCTTTCAGCAATCAACCCCTTTTTTAGCAAAATGTAGCAGCAGCAATACAAATGTTTAGCTGTGCACTTGCTGCGGAAAATAAATCATTCGATGATTTAATTTGGTACACGCTGAGCCTTAGCAAGCGATGGAGTGGAACTATATTTGTGATCGAGCTTAGCTAGGCAGGGCTCTGGCTTGCCTTCAACACAGTGTGATAGCCAATGATTCCAGTCATGTTCTTTTGAACACTGGAGCATTGCATTTTTCCTCCTTTCTAAACAAAACACGAATGTTCAGTGGCCACCGATGATCTAATCATTTCAACCACCTGAGCCCAAGCAGCAGCTACTAAAAAAAATTTACTCAACAATTCCTTCCAGTGCCTCGTGCACACTGGGATCACACCGCACATGCCTGTGGTGATGCACAGGAGCTGGGGGAGGATAACGGTTGTAGTGCTGGAGCAAAAATCAACCAGTGCAAATAATGAAGACATCATCATACTTATGGAGGAAAGGCTTTGCATGAGAGAGATGTCACTTGAAAAGAACTGACACGCAGTGCTCATGAGGAAGAAAAAGGTTTGATGGTGCAACTCAGGTGGTAGATGACATTAAACTGCAGCAGGCTATATTGCCCACCTCCCCACCCCCCCATTCCTTGCACGACTCGATTATGATCTTTATTGCATTCTTATGGTAGACTGCAAAGGTGGAATGTCAGACCTGTAAACGCAGAAGGCAGGAAGAACCAGCCCCATATGCCATGAACACTCAAAAAGCACACGATGAACTACCACCCCGACCCCTCCCTCCTGCAGATATGAGATTACACATGAAACACACATCAAGTAGTATCAATGCAATGCTGGAGGAGGAGGAGAAATAAAAGTGTTTGGGGGGGAAACTATGCTTGGTGAATGCATGCAAGATGAGGGGAAATCGCCCTTGGGTTGAATGTTGTGCAATATCTCTGCATGCATACTGTGGCGTGTGTCACAGTGGTGCAGCCCGTGTGTGTCCAGACACCTCACGGGCTAAATGTGACATCTCTGTGCTAAGGGGTTCACAGCACCGGAGTTACCCTCCACTTCCTAGTTGAGCGCTGCTGTCACAGCTCCGGCTAACACCCGTCCACAGCGAGCAGCGAAACATTTCTGCCTGGTTCTGCCACGACACTCGTTTCTCTCCAAGTGCGCGTCCCCCTCCCCGTGAAAGCGAACACTTACATTTCACCACCCTGTCCGTCGTAGATAACTTCGGCTCATCACTCGGCTTGTTTTCGGACATTTCCAGTGTGATATAACGCTGCGACGCGGCGACAGAAAAACGCTGCGCTTCTTTCTTCGTCTCGCTGCTGCAGAACAAACTCTCCCCGAGTCTATCCGAGGGAAACGGGCCGCAGTGATCTCACTGGGTCCGATCGGCGGCCAAAAATACTCTAGGACAGGGCTTCGGTTTCTGCTGCTGGAGGAGCTGCTCCTTCTGATTGACTCCTACTCTCCGGAGCAGTGCGCACTCTAACGTGCTGACTCCCCGCGGACCCGCCCACCGCATCGCCCAGCGCCGCTTCCCATTGGCGGAGAGCGACGGGCTGCCGCTCCCGCACTGTACATTCACACTTTTCTGTTCCTGTGTCAGTCTGCTGAGATCAGCCTGTATGAATTACTTATGATTAACGAGTGGCAGGGTGTGCACGCCGCATGAATGAAAGATTACAGATACGGAACATAAACTAATGTTCAACACATGCACGCGTATTAAACTTAATACAGGCTTTGATTCTCATGATTGGCTTTGATTTGATTTTTTTGGTTTGTTGTCCTCTCTCGTCCATGTTCCCCTTTTCAATGTGTTGAGCAGAGACTCAGCAGTCTCCACCTTGACAGTGATCCAGTCTTTCAGGTCTGGTGACTCAACACGTTTCCAGTGTATTAAGATCATTCTAGAGGCTTTAACCAAACCTCCCATAATAACAGAAGATATTAAAAATGCACACATATGAAACTAAGCACAATAATCGCATCACACATTTGGCTTTGTTTTTTCTTAATTTCCTTGCATAATTTAGTTATTATATTTAAGGCAGTGCAATCAGTAATCATCACAATGTAATTTTTACGGACAGCAATCTTATAAAAGTCCAATATATAGATGTATTTTCTATGAACTGTGCAATCACACTAAAGGAGTAGAGAATATGAACAAAGTACAGTACATATTCAAAGTTGAAAATAAAATAATACAAATTTGCTGTTTGCATAATTTAAACTGGGTAACAAAACAATATCAATTATTTGAATATAATTTTCATTAATATAACAAATAGTCCAAAAATATTGTTATAAGTTTTATTATCCTTCAACTTAAGTATTGCATGTTACTTATCATTACTTACTGATGCCTATCTTGACTCTTGCTGCTGTAATATTGCATATTTCATCTTTGTGGGATTAATAAAGGATTAACATATTTTAGTTTAGATTTGTAAAATATTTGTCATATTAGTATTTATCATTCTCTGCAAATAAGAAATACTTTAAAAACCACAACCTTCACTCTCAAGCAAAGAACAAAATTATGTTATATTTATCGTGATCATTATGAGAAAAAAAAATTCTGGGTTTAATCAAAATTATAACAAAATATCTCATAATTTTTGTTTTCCTCCTGACTAACCTCTTAATTATTTTACTGGCAAACATGAACTTCAATATCTCAGAATTTTGCTCGGGATATTTTTTGCTCCCTGGGGGTGAATCCTGATCCTTTTATGACCCCCTGACCTTTTCATGCTGAATTTTCTCAAGTTCTTCTCAAGCGCCACCCTCAGGACAAAGCCGTGGCATTGCACACATGATATTTCACACTTAAACAGGCATATCTCCATAATCTCTGCAGAGGATATTCATGCTCCCATGGAGATAAACCATTGTGACATTAATAGCCCTCGTCCTTTACTCCAGCACCACCCTCAGGACAAATTTAGCCGTTTCAGTCCTGTTTGGTTACTCTTGTGATCAAATTCTCAATGTTTTATTTGATACATGATTAACCCCTCAACTAATTTATCTCCCTGTCACTTAAAACGATGAGTTAAAGTAGCTGGTTTTGACGGCTCTGGTGTCTGCTGTGGATGACTTTCAGCTTTGTAGAACTCACAGCAGAACCAGAGGATATCATGTCCTGTCTTTGGAGGCAAAGTGTGTGGATCTGCATGCATGATCTATCACTGGTGAGTCACCAGGTACACAGCTACGGCAATTTGCAAGAAGACGACTGCAGCTTTCACCCACTCATTTTGTCAACGCTTGTGCATTTCAGTTACCCCCGCCGCTGCTGCTCAAAGCAAACAAATTAATAAACGACGGCAAACTGCTATTTGTGAGACAGGGGGTATGGTTAAGAGTCAGTTGTTTGGCAGGTGGAGGCAGTTAATGAAGACCTGAGTTTCACATTGCTCTCAGTGTGAGTGTGTGTCTGTGGTAGGTCAGACAATCAGACATTCACACCAGATCATTAGTTTCTGGCTTCAGCCTCAGGCTCCAGCACTCTGCTTTACACTGATAGCTCTGCATACTTCATTAAACTCTGGTCAAATCTGTGACTAAGATTTTTCACTTTCTCTTCACCTGTTGTTTGCTTGACAGTGACCTTTACATCTCTTATTTGCTTACAAATAGAGCCACTGTGTCTTTATTAAATAAAATACTAAGTTAGGGCTATGAGAGGAATGGCGTTGGATATATTTATAGTTTTCTATATGCTTTTCTGCTTCTGTAGATTTGGTTGTTTTTAAACTCCATAACTCATAAGAAAAGAAACTTTTCCTCTCAAAATTACATTTTCAAACTGGAAATCCTTACAGTTACACACAGCACACTGTAACCTTTTCATCCTTCTGTGCCGCCCTCTTTGTTACATAAACATTAGCGAGATATCAGCTTTTTATTACTTCATGTTTTATTGCTTCACCTTTATAACTCTCCATTTGTTTGCATGAGGTTCGATGGTCTCAGCACCGGTGACATTTTGACAGCGAACTGAATCAGTTTTATGAATTTCCATCACATTCACTTTGCACAACTAATTTTAAATTCTGATCTTATTACCTGGAATTGCTTTATTTTTTGAATAACAAACTATCAAATCCAGCCTGTTCCTTATCACCGGCTTAGCAAACAGGCGTTTTTGTTCCATCACATGATTTCTTTATTCATTCTGATGTAGCAGGAAACACTCTTATCTGAAATCCTCAAGATAACAGCCGTGCTGTTTTAAATCATTACTGTGAAGACCTGCAGACACACAACACTTTAGCCATGAGCCACACAGGTAAGCCTTTTCGTTTGCTTTAATTATTCAGCGAGTTATTACAATTTTCTGGGATAATGAAAATTATGAATTGCTTTAATTTTGTATATGATGCCTCAGAGCAACATTTTATAATATTAGTGCAATATATCCTAGATTTAAAGTGTCAAAGTCTCATTAAATCTAGTTCCATGTTTTGATTTTTGTATTAAATGTATTAGTTTTACATTTAATGATAAAGCAGCATCAAGAGCAAGATAAACTGTGGTAGTAAAGTTATGTCACTGTATCCTCTACATTCAGTATGTTACATATTAATATCCTGCACTGACATTGGAACAGAATCATTTTTAAACAACTTTGGTGAGTTGCAGATGTGTCTAGAAACTGTTTTACTGTGAGGATGTGTTTGCAGACTAAGTATATTTAAAAGCAATGAGAAATGTGATGTTTTTCCTTAAAATATTAAAAACTGCACTCAGATGCCTTTTTCCTTTTTTCAGCCGAGGAGCTGCTGATCATCTATCAGACTGAGGCAGAGCAATGGGCAACGTACCTGAAGTCAGTATTCACCGGTCCTATCTCAGAGGCTGGCATCTGCTGCTACGACATCGCCACGGCGTCCAGCCGACGGGACGACTTCCTCAGGCTCGCCCGCTACAGCTGCAAACTCCTGATCCTCTCCAAAGGCATGCTGGACGGCCTCGGCCAGATGTGGCGCTTCTTCCTGGCCCGTGTGTTGAGCCCCGCTGCTCAGGTGGTGGTGCTGCTGTGTGGCGTGGAGAGTCTGACCCCGCTGCTGGAGTTGGTGCCCCTGAATGGTGACGAGTGCCTGCAGATTTCCAGCAAACAGGAGACTCATGAGTACCTATCCACTGTCATGGATATTGTGGGAAAAGGTACCATATTTTTTATCATCACTTTTCTGAGGACCCAGACAAACTGTATAATTTCATCTTGAGCTCCATGTGAGATTATTTTGGACTGATGTATGGTTTCTACTACAGAAATTGCAAAATAAATCCTCTCATGCATTATTCCCCCTTTAATTAAATAGAAAATTAAATAAATATTTTCTCTTAATGGGGTTCTCCTCGGATGCATTCAAAGACCCCTGGAGGTCTCTGTAACCATAGATGTCAGAAACCAGTGATGTGTGAAATTCCACAATCAATTTTGCACTTTGCATTCAACACTTTAAAATTTGTGACATCTAGAGTATGATGCACTTACAGAAGATCTGCACACCTAAAACTCCCTTAAACGATGTATTTGCAAGTGGCATTTTCAGCACAAGGCTTTTCCTCAGACACAGTGTCACCATCTTAAATACCCACAATCCAATTTGAACAAATCAGTAATACAGAATATATTAACGAATATATCTGTGTAGTTTTAAAGTCTTGATACTGACACTCTTCATCAAAATCTGAGGAAGAGCCTTGTGCTCTTCTCTTTTTCAAACGTTTGTGATGTTCTGTTGATCCAGCACCTATCAAAAGATCTTTTTAACGGACGTCAGAGTAGGTCCTATTTTTGGGTTTAAAAGAAATAAATCATTGCTTCAGTGGCCTATTTAACACTATATACAAATCTTCTAACACATAGACTGAAATTTAGACACAGTCTGCATCCCAGTGTTGAAAATCCAGAGCACAATCTGCACAGCTTCAGCATAACAAGTTCACATGGCCTGGATGGTCCTCTGCCATTAAAACAATGCTCATTATTTTTGAGAATGCCTGAGTATCCTCTTTTACAGACTTTCTCTTTCTCCCTGAGAATTTGAGAATGTGTGCTGATTGACATGCAATATTTTTTAGCACCGGACTGTTTATCTCTGGCATGTCTTCCTCGCCAATTACTCACTGCCATCCCTGCTTTTCCTTATTGTGATATTGTATGAGAGGATTTGAACAGGTGTGTGTGTGTGTAACATGTGATGCAAATGGATAGTGCTTTCCTCTTCAGCCCCCACTGCTGAACGCAAGCCATGCAAATTGGAGTGCACTCTGCATCACTTCATTGCATTTATACAGTGAAGTGGTTGAGGCCCGGACACCACAAACAGTTTTAACCCGGAGGTTTTGCTGTTCATACAGAGTGATGGTGTTTGTTTGTCAGCACATGCAGCAGACATGTAGGAGTTCGATGAGGTTTAGTGCACAGCCCAGGAAAAGAACGTACAATTCATGACAACAGAGATTTTTAACCAATGTAATTTAAGTGTTAACTTTAAAAAATAAGGCCTAAATTTGAGTCATGCTTGCTGCTCTGAGGTTTAAGGTAGAGCTAAAACCAAATTTAACCTTGTCACTATGTCACTTTAGTAAACACTGATGAGAAAACAAAGTATTTACTCATGAACCATTGTAATTCTGACCACATGACTAAAAGTTAATCAACGAAGCTGTTTTTAGACATGAACTGGATACCTCTCTGCCCAGTCAGACACGCTCACAACTAAAGGAAAATGTCCAGAACATTCAGGCGAGTGTCTGGGCAGAGCTTAAAGGAGGCAGGACATGGCAAATGAATTCAGCTGCAGAAATTGCTTGTTTTTGTTTGTGGCAAATCAACACAGACATTTCATCTTTCTGCTGTATTCTCACATGGGCTCATTTGGATATTTTACAAGGCGGGAGAAAAAAAAAGTTCCAGAAAGTGTCAGGAGCTTTCAGGAACATGCCTTCAGTGCATGTCTGATAGCAGATCAAATAATTTATATTTTTGACCTAATTTTTTTTACCAGTGACATTTTACTTGAAAGAAAAAAATCCATCCTCTGGGGAGCATGAATGCCTGAAGAAAACTTCTTGGCAATGCTTCTGATAGGTACTGGTGGATCAACGTTGCCCCTGGATAGGTGATGTTGTGCAAAACCCACATCACCGGTGCATAATTCAGTGCAATGTCTCTCTTAAAGGTGTGTCAGCCACGGCAGCAAATGTCGAACTACCAACACGTAAACTGTCTGGATCGGAGCAGAAGGTGCAGTCAACTAGAGTCCACAGCATCGGGTGCAGAACTGTGGTCATTCCTTCCAGGGTTCCCTGCGGGGTGAGAAACTCGTCTGGTCAGAGGCCATTTCTTATTTTTCCCAGAACGCACCACTAACATTGGCTACACAGCAGTGCACTGTACTGTCTCTCTGGCAGACCTCTACAGAGGTGTTCATCCTTTTGAAAAATGCGGCTCCTGGCGGCGACAATGAGGTTGAGTTTGCTGGTGAAAATCAGACGCTGCGAGTGACACCCGTCCACTGGAACGACAGAACCCTGTGTGTCAGTGCACCAGGTGAGCAGCATGATAACAAAATATTCAATGTATGATTAAAAAAATCAGCTTCTGCTCTGCCTGTGTAAAGTTACTGTGTGTTTTCTGTTGTAGATTTTCCAGCTGGAAACGTCAGACTGACCGTGTATATCAACGGAGTGCCATTGAGCAAGGCACAGCTGCAGTACTACAGCAGCATGGAGGAAATCGCTTGCCTTCTTTCGAGGGTTGCAGACCCTGTAGATTTCATGTGTCAGGTAGAGCACATAAATTCTGACGGGGCGGATGACAAAAACATGATTGGCAGATTCAATTGGCACAGAATAAAGATGACCAATTAGATCCCGGCCCGGGCTTGGTTAGAAATTGTTGGAGAAAAGGGTTTCCTAATGTTTTTCAGGCTCTTCAGGTGTCGTCCGTGGACAAGCTGGATTACAAGTTGTCCTCCATGCTGCTGGAGGCGATGCCCACTGGAGGCTTCCCTGCACTGCAGTGTGAAAACACGCCAGACAGAGGTACAGCTTCTTCTGGACTTCACTTTGAAAAACATCTGCTGACCAATCACACTGAGGAAACAGTTACAAACTGTTTGCTGGATTCCTTTGTTTTACCTGAAATTAGTCGTATATAGTCTTGATAGTCTTGACAGGAAATCTATAGAATATTTTTTAATTGAATGGATGCAAGGTGAAGTCAAAACAGAGGCAAAAATGCATATAAAGCCTTTAAGTTTTAAGAATAGAATTCAAAAGGGGCAGACCACACTGACCAAAATTCATCAGCTATCAGCTTTTTAATTATCTGATGAACTCATATGGCACAGATATCCGCTGTCTACACCAGAAGCCTCAACATATTATCCATTGCCCCCAGAGGCAAATTCCCCCTCCGACTATTGATAGCCAATTGGCTCTGAGATTGACCCAAGGAAATCCCGTTATTTCAATTTAAAGACACTAGAAGCACATATGCTAATGCATGACCACAACAGATTGTGCATTTAATTCACTCCTTCAGCTTTCCTGCTGCATGATGCAACTAGGAAAAAAAGTCTTCAATTATTTCTTTGCTCATCATGTGGCAGATTGATGACTTCATCTGCTACTGAGATTGATCCTTAACTCTACTAAAAAGGGCACGGGGAAATCCATTTCCACAAATAGGTCAATCTTTCTTCGATTTTCCTGAATGTGTTAAATTGTTCAGATTGCACCGGGTCAACGTCAAGTTATCACCTTGATAGGAAGTGGTTTAATCCTCGCCGTGAAAGAAATATTACATTCTCAAATACATTTTCAGGCTAAATTGACATTTTGGAAAATGTCTGAAAATTGCTTTTCCTGCACCTTCAAATGTTCACATCAGAGCTCCACCATGCAGATGTGCCAACCTTCCTTCACTTCGCCGCCCAGTATGGGCTCAAGGCCGTGTCCAGCCTGCTCCTGCAGTGTCCTGGCGCAGAGCGAGCGCTGCACATGGCGAATCGGTGTGGTCAGACTCCCGCAGAGATTGCCAGGAGTCACAGCCACGCAGAACTGCACGTCTTACTGAGGGAAACACTGGTAAACATATCCTCATCAACAGTTTTTTAAAAAATATTTAATCTCTTTGACTGTTGCCTGTTTATTTTCACCTTCCACCAGTTGATATTCATCCTTGCAACATGCTAGATAATATTATTGATCCTCCGACCTCTGTACAATGAAGACATTTCACAAAAACACCAATATCTGATGACAGCTTCTCACGTTCAGTGATTTGTGAGCCAATTAAAAGCACCCGGTGACATTATTAGTGTGTATGGAGCTGGCTGGATGTAATATCGGCTCATTGGAATTCTTCAGTTTTCCGTTACCTGCTGATGGCTGAAGAAAACAACACGGTGCACCTGAGCTCTTGAGGTTTCGCTGCCAGAGGTGTAGTACTTGCTAACACCAACAACACTTCAGCACAATGAGCGAGTAGGGCTTTATCAATAATGAACAGAATGGAGAGGATGGAAATGTGGAAAGCAGGGAGTGGGGGGACCTGAGTGTCGACCTCACTCCCTCATAACCAGCGACGAGACGATGACCCTCCCTTCTCTTACCCTGAATATGTTTGTCCTGCGAGGTTCCTAATGGAACACCCCCACAGACACCAGAGAGGCCGTGTTTGTTCATGCATGCCCGATGGCTCACAGTGCAAGTCTGCATACATTCAGACAATTAATGCAGCCGCTAATGTTTGAGATTTTCTCGCATAATAGCTGCCATTTTCTCATGTTAATATGGAGAGCCACTTCCCGCGCAACCTTCCATTTCACCACTCAGGATACAGTAATACAAGAGCAGCGCGTTTGCTACTCACTCGCTAATGAGTGGCAATCCAAATTTAATAGATCCCGAGCATGCATGCACATCCCTTTATCTGATAAAGCTGGAGGACACTGGCTTCATAATGTTCTTTCCGATGCTAATTTCATTAGGCAGTGAGGACATTATCATTAAAAAAATGGGATGCACCAAGTGGTATGGCTAAGACGGAAGGTTGAAAACAGCACATGCATTTCGACTGTGTGCGGCAAAAACAAAACCAAACGTAAATATTATGAGAGGATGCAAAATATAGTGAGAGGGAACACAAAAGTAATCATCATTAAAGATTCTCACGGTGACCCGTAGGAGGCTCCGCAGCATATAATTACAAACAATACCTACCAAAAGGAGTTCAGAAGTACAAAATACAAAATATTATATAAAGGAAATACTTCAGTAGAGATAAGAAATGCTGCCAGAGTTTTTTAAGTGTCATTTCCCACTGTGAACACAAACAAAACCATATCCACCTCCACTGAGGCTGAAAAAAGATGGATATCTCAAAACATACATACAACACAGGATAGGATAACCATGTAATGGAGAGAGACAGCGGGAAAGCAATGCAGCAAAAGGCAGAGTCAGAGCCAAACTGCACGAGGACTCGAGCCATGATGGAGCAACAAATGTTATTTTCATTATTATCAGTGCTATGATTTTTATTTTTTCATTTGTGTGAACTAATCCTTTAAAGCTTTTATCAAGTGTTATACTCCTTGTATAACTTTTTAACAGATAACAGCATCATTCTCATTGAAAATCTTATGAAAACCTCTATAATAGCAACAACTTCTAACTTTTCTCTGATGCCTGGGACCAACCTGTGGAGAATTCCCTCTCGTGGGAAATTTAGACACTCCAACAGCTGTCGTAAATGTATTTATCCTCCTAGCAACCCTGCTAATTGAGAGTGACTGCAGATGGAGCGAGGTTTGATCAGACTGCTCCAGTGATTGCTCTCCGTGAACCCTCGGTGAATCGGCTGAGCTGACAGGGAGCAGCGCAGTCACACAGAGGTCTCCCTGCAGGGACGTCAACGAGCTTATTGATGTGACACAAAAGACAGATTCGACATGCACAAACAATTGCCGTTCTCCTGCAGGGTAGTTAAAGTTCATGTTAAAAGTTGAAACCTATGTGCATACTGTGCACGGGTGGGTTTTAGCTCCTGCTCCTTTTTTTGTGTAGTTTCATTAACTCATCTGCAGTGTCCCCCCCAGATCCAATTAATCAACCCATGATGCATCAGTGATTTGGACGTCAGCGTAGCAGCTCTGTCAATAAAGCCTAGATGGATCGGTCCCTTGCTTCATACATAGGCTGAATCACTCACAGGGCCTGCGTCAGATCCACCAGTCTGCCATGGCAGCGCAGTTCTTTGTTAATTAGCTGTGAACTGCTCCAGAGGGGGAAGCTGAATTATTCAGGGGGAGCATAACTAGAATACAAATATAGAAAACGCTCTGCTGTTATCTGCTATGTTTATGTCTCCAGACTGCAATATTGTGCTTGCTCATAATTACCAAGACAAACACACATTGTCCTTATTTAATATTTGAATACTGGGTCACTTGGCATTAAGATGGACTTGCCGCTCCAACTAAGATTTCACTGTGTGCTCTCAGACGTAGAGCGGAGCTCGATAAAGACAAATTAGCCTGCAACTGTAAGAGCCTCAGCACAGACTAGTAAGAGTTGTGTGTGCTGCATGCTTTGTTTGTGTACAGTGGAGTCCAATTCAAATTAGTTGACACCCTACCCTCCAGACGAGGGATTAGTTGGTTCCCCACGACCCGGTTTTACACATTGTGTGTGTTTGGTCAGAAGCTGTACTTTATCAGTAAGATCCAGAGATTTGTTTATAATTTGAATGATTCGATCATCCTTGTTGCAAAAGGGAAGCAGCTAGCTGCTAACGCTCAGAGTTGCAGCAGGCATGTCAGATTACAGACCATCAGTTGTATATAAAGAGGTGGTGGCACCCTAGTGGTTGCAAAAAAAACTTGAACAAATTTCGAAATACACATTAAATACATTTTTATTACAGATCATTTCTGTAATTGTAGGGAGTTTCTATGAAACTGTGTTCAAGTGTTCAGACATAAGTTGGGTTTGAATTATTTATTTGATGATGTAAAAAAGGGGTGGAACATCGGGATTGGATTGATTTCCACATCTCATTATGGGCCACCAGCTGAGCAAAACTCATTTGTTGTCACAAAACTTTAACTCTGGCTTTTGTTGACTAGATGACGAATCATCAGTGTGTCTGTGATCCCTTGACTTTTCTGATAGAGCCAGCATGAGGTTGAGATTGGTGGTTATCGTTACACAGCACTTTTCTAATGTTATCAGCCCCTCAAAGCACAACACAGCACAAAGTCACATTCACCCACACACACTAATACGATACTTCTATACACAACAATTTTTCTGTCACACATTCATACACTGTATACTGGAGCAATTTAACGGTTCAGTATCTTGCCCAAGAACACTTCTGCATGCAGACTGGGAATCGAACCACCAATCTGCTCTACCTCCTGAGCCAGAGCCGCTCTGTTTCAGCAGTACCTAACAGCATACTGTTAGTCAGTATGGTAAGAACATTATACCTGCTAATTCAGAATGTTTGTGATCTTACACTGACATTAGCATTTGGCTCAGAGTAGCAGCCGACTCAGTGTGGTTATAAGAGCCTACTATAACAACACGTTTGGTGTTAAAAGAAAACTACGAAGATCACACTTTGCTGAGTAAATATAGTTTAAAGTGTTAAGTGTTTCTTGCCCTGCTGAGCTGACCACCTCTTATTTTCCCATGCTGGATAAACAAGTCGGATTTTGACTGCCACTCAATCTGCCGTCTATCATAGAGCCCTGAACCCAATTAAAAGACACAGAGCATGGCGGCACTGAAGAGCCCAGACCTGCTAACCTGTGAACTGACCATCTCAGCAGCTGAAAACAGATTTATACTCCTTATCCCTCCCCAGATTCACTCCAGAATTGTCCTCCCTCAACAACAAAATCACACCCACTGCTTTCGTCTGAGGCGCTGCTGCAATCCCAGCAGCGGCGAAACCGAATTTGTCTGGAACGCCTGGGGCCTTCTGCCGTTTCAGACATCTGTAAAAATGATTTAGCGTTTTGCGGCTAGTAAATAAATACCCCCTCCCTCATTCGGGGAACGACCTCTGGAAATACCACATTGGGCCTGAGCGCAGCTTCTGACTATTATGATCCAATGCTCAGTCTGCAGCGGTAATTAACCCATCCTTTCTACCTGTTGGGCCTGTTATGAAACACCACTGTTCAGTAATGCATTCATGGCAGCCGGTAAGTAATTTACAGTAGGCTACTCGGAACAGTGCAATATTGTAATTGAGTCATGAGTGCTTGTGTTGCTTGGAAACTGCACACAGTGCGTGGCAGGTTATACGGAGGATATTTTAATCAAAGTGGTCTCCATCTCATATATTCTGCAAAGACTTATTATTATTGACTGGGACTTTTCTCACTGAATTCAGAGTGTATGCGATTAAAATGACACTGGAATCTATTGTTATACTAAAGCATTATCATATGTATTATGACAGAGTATCTCCGAGTCTCCTTTGGCCATAGTTTTCTTGGATGCAAAAGTAGCAGTTGCATTCATACATTTAAAAAAAAAAAAAAAAGATTTATTTTATAAGATGCATGTTTGAGGCATTTTTTTCTTTTTCCTTTTGTTTTGTTGTCAAAATAAATACTGTTCAAAATGTATGAGGCAAATCCAGTTCCTCAAATCTAAGTTAGAAATATGGCAGTAAAGTAATATCTGTATGCTCATTCTAAATGTGGATCCAGTCTAAATATCAAGCCGAGGGTCTTGAGTCGCTCACTAAATAATATGTTTGGAGTGAAAGGGGAAGATTGTCTGATTTCATAATTACCCTGATCATACCCCTGTCCCTCAGCGTGCCATTAGCGAGTATGGGGCCTCGACTCGGCAGCAGCTCCGCAGTCACAGGGAAAGCTGCTTTCAGCCAGCAGGCAGGGTTACAGCGAGCCTCTGTAATTCCTGGCATAGCCCTGAAATTGCTTTTCCACAAGTGAGGTCCTAAGAGGTGCGTCGAGGAACCTCAAATAAATAATCTAAACATGACAACGCCACTTTAGAGCGTGGCATGGAGGCAGACATCGGTCTCCATGCCAGTCCATCGACCAGTAAAGTAGTCACCTCTGCTATTATCTTTCATTTTTATGCCTTGTATACGCGTTAGAAAGTAGAAAATGAGCCAAAAGAAAGAATGTAGTGAGCCAACCAAGGAGTAAGCCACATTCTTGCCTAATTTACAAGCCTGCAATGCATCAAGAATTTTTTCTAATGCATGAAAAATCTACTGTTGGGTATGAAACGGCCATCAGCAGAACTAATTAAACACTACTTTCCTTTTAATTCTAAATTGCTTCTATTTTGCCGTTTCTCTGTGATTTGCATGATGCACAGAACTCATGTCTTTGCCGTCTCCTGTTGCAGAATATATCCGACCCCGGCGAGGAGAATGGTGATGCCAGTGTGTATGAAGTGATGTGTGCCACAGGTGAGTGAAGGACTAATGGGAAGTGGAACAAGGCCAATAGGAAACAATGGAATTGTTTTTTCCAGCATATCATTCCGCGTGCTGATGGGCTCACCATGTAGCCATTGCTTCCAAGTAGCCGAGTAGCAAAACACAAAACGCAGAGCTTCATCATGACATTCAAGCAGTTAACACTTTGTGCATTAGGGAGTTCTTCCGCCGCACATGTGCAGAAAGACCAGCGAGGAGAGGATGAATGGGAGGAGGTGGAGGATCTATACGCTCCGCTGGGGGTGAACGATGAATATGACACTATGCTGAACTCAACGAAGGCGGTGGTCATTGCCAATCGCCCACCAGCGCCCATGCCGCGGTCTGAGAACCATCAGGTGAAGGAGGACAGAATCCCATACATCACCCAAGGTAGCTCACGACTTATCTTTCCAAAATTATAGATATGATGGAGCTCATCTGGCGTAAAGACAACACTGAGTTAATGCACAGCATGTGAAGGGGAGTTTGGGAGCTCATGTGGGAGGGAGGAAGTGACTGGAATGTGCATTGCCTTTGTCAGTGGAGTGCCGCTGGATTGAGTGGAGAGGATTTTATTTATTTTTTTTGCAGTGCAGTTTTGTTTTGTTTTGATCCCATAAACCGCAAGGACACAGTCGCTCCCTGCTGAAAAACAAACAAAAGCGAGGGGAGAGAATGAGCCATTTGCCTGCGTCAAGAGCCGACAGGCCCTAACTGTTCAATTTCAGAGGCGTGAATATTTCATGAAGATGAAACATCCAAAAGTGACTGGTATTATTAAGGCTTATAAATCATTAAATCGGCGGGGACTTCTCTTTTTCATCTTGCAAATGCAAACACGATCACATGCATCCATAATTAATTGTTATTCCCATTGAGAAAACAGTCAAAAATTGTATTTGGGGAACAACGTCATTATGCAGCCTTTCATTGAGCTTGTTTGTATCCCGTGAGCCAGCTCCCTTCCCAATGGGCCTTACAAAGCAAAAAACTAAATTGAACGCACCACTGAACTCCCTGCATCCCGACCATCCCCTCAGCAACAGAGAGGGAACTTACTCGGCTGCCATCTGCAACCAATCTTGGCCAGACCAAGGCCAAGTCAGCCAAAATAAGTCATTACACGTGTTTTCCATCGTCCTTGTCCCCAGAGCTCACGAGAGAAAGGAGAGGGATTTCGAGGTTTCCATCTATCGAGACAGTGGAGCTTCAAACCACACAAGGATCACATTTTGCTCCTCACTCCCACTGCCGCAGTGAGAGATGTGAGAGGGGAGACGAGGCTTGGTGGAGGATTAGGCGAGGAGCCAGTTATTGGAGAGAACAGTGCACAAGTGGAAATAATGAGGAGTTTTCCTTTTGTTTAGCAGCAGCAGCTCAATGAGACTGAAATGTGAATGAATTGTAGTCCTATAGGGTGGAATTGCTGGCCATGTAAATTACACAGATAGCAATGCACCCGCTCTACGGCGAGGTAAAGTAATAGCAACAGTCACGAGACGGATCTGCAGCGGTGCTCTTCATTCTGAGTTTAAGCCATAGAAGTAAGCCCAGACTTGTGTTATGAGAGAGGTTGAAAAAGAGAAGCTGTGTGTGAATGTGGAGTGGAAAAGAGAGATGCTGTCATGGAGGAAGTAGTCAGAGGCAGGATTATCTCGCAGGGTGTGGATGTTGAATTTGAATCCGGTGTTGGTCATACAGCCGCAGCTCCACCGCCTCTGACAAGCTCAACAGTGTAGCCTTTCATTCTGAACACTCTCTCCCAAACCAAAGGCATCATTCAGAGCAACTCATTTGATCCAGAGCTGAATACAAGTCTTTTAACTGAGAATTTAGTTCTGGATGATCACATAAAGATTCCTACTATTTCCCAGACATTCATTATATTTATTTATTCTGGATGGAAAGTAACAGGTTTCATCTGCAGGCAATTTACATTGAGCAATGCACAATCCACACATAGTTAAATGCTTTTACATAGAGTATGGCTCCATCTTGTGGAAAAATAGTTGAAGTACAGGAACATGGGTGATTTTTAGAACTGTAAGATCAACTCCTGCTTACAGCAGCTGTATGTCAAATGTTATATAAGTTTATCAAAGGGTTATTTTATTTTAATAAATTGATATTCTAGGCATGATATAATATATTATAGTTACAGTAAGTATTCTGTATTTACAGTGTTCCAGAAGAAGAAAACACCACAAGGAAATGCTGAAATATATTCACTTCCAACTAAACAAGGTAAGTGCGAGCTTTATCTAATATATTTGTAGGAGATTACACTCAGATCAAACCTGTTCATGTGGCAGTGGAAATAAAATATTGCCAATTTAATTTGATTTTACATATTTCTATCTATTTTATTTGTATTCATTTATTTATTTTAAATAATAGTATTGTTTTATTTATATTAAATAATAGTATTGTTTTAATCTTTTAACTCATTTTTCATTGTTATTCAGACCTTTTTACCTCCTTTACCTTTTTAAAATCTCTTAACATATTTCACTCTTTTTAATCTTACTTTGCTCCAATTCAATTTTAAAGACTCTAAAAATGTGCTTGAATTTCAGCAAATCATTTTTGCTGACTTCTCTCTTATGATTTCCTGTTGGAATTACCTGCTGGATGGTAGCAGTCAATGGTGAATGTCTTAGTAGATAATTTATGGTGTTTTGTTAATTAGAATTAGAGCAATCACAACGGGGGAAATGAGCATCACAGCAGCAAATTAATGGGCAAACATAGAGTGAAAAAAGCTATAAAAAGAGCAGGTAGGAGATTTAAAGTGCCGACAAGATAAATACATATCTTTAAAAAATGTGTAGAAGAGAGAAGGAGCTGCTACGTTGGCACTAACACAGATACAAAGCCATTTGTCTGCTTTGCTGTAGTGTTGGTGACGCTGAATGACAGGTCCATAGATCATCCAGAAAATGACTTAGCATCCCCATGACTCACTGACATTACAGATGTGCTGGAGAAAACCACATCTAATCCTCTGTGTGAGTGCCATCTGGACGAGGTTTAAACTCTGCCTCTTCGTCTTGATGCCTTACAGTTTAATTTGTGATACTTAACTTGAAATCTACCTTGTTAACTTGTCGTCCCATGTGTGGCGACTGTTTTCTGCTAAAAAACGTCAGAATTCCCGCTTGCTCTTTGCAGCACGAGGGCGAGAACACAGCATCTCTTCCACCTATGACACCTTGGTGCCAGAACAGATACATGGGCTTCAGCAGCTCGTCGAGCTCCAGCAGAGGGTGAAGCCCGCTTCGCTCACTGTGGACGAGGACCTGGAGCATTTCAGTGACTGGCAGAGGGCTCAGAAGGGCATGGACACCACCCAGAAAGTAGGTCTATCACACATTGTCATCATCACACACACAGGATTTGGAATGAATTAACAGTCAGGACCAAACCCTGATAAAACAATCTGTGTTATATGCCAACTTTGACTTAAGTTTGGTCCATGTCACATCTGATAACATGGAGGAGGTAGGGTTTATGACCTACAGTGTTTAATAGATAATAAATATAGATAATGATAGAAATTTGAAGAGGTGACAGGAGGATCAGGGTATACAC